AATTTGATGAAATATAACAAGGGTACAGGACTTATGTACCATATCAAATGAGGTCAAAAACACCTACATGGAGCACAGCAATAACCAACAGACAACAGCCTTAATAGATAGGTATTAGGTAGGCCATGTGCCAGTCATGACCAAAATGATCTCAAAACATAATGAATCATAAAGATGAGGAACAAGTTTTGTCATAATTAAGTTGTAAAATTTTACAGTGAACATTAATATTTCTGGACAAGCCTTTAAATAGCAAACATAAAGTCCCATTTCCTAGTATTTGAAAATAAAAGATGAATGCATATGAAAAGCTGTCATTTCCATATGCATATATTCATTACACCTCAACACAAAACACTAATAAAATGACCTTTATAGAATTTAACAAATTGGAAATATAAAGACTTTATTAATTCCTGTAGAAAGAGAACACAGCCAGCAAGACATCCCGAGCCAGACTAATAACTACCCAATTTAACTTGTGTGACTGGGCACATGAAACAGAAACAGTCCAAACTCCAGGCCAGCAAGGGTAACATTAGCAAGACCCTGTCTAATAGTAATAGCAAACCAGGATATGTTTAAAAGAGTTTCTAGCCGAGCGTTGGTGGCGCACACCTTTAATCCCAGCACTAGGGAGGCAGAGGCAGGCGGATCTCTGTGAGTTTGAGGCCAGCCTGGTCTCCAGAGCGAGTGCCAGGATAGGCTCCAAAGCTGTACAGAGAAACCCTGGGGGGTGGGGGGGAGAGTTTCTAAATAGACAGAAAAGGGTCAATTCAGAAAGACTAATCACACTGGCAAAAATTAAGCCTAACAAAACACTAGATGCTTACAATATATTAACAGAAGCATTTAATTAACAATTCTGAAGGAGACTAAATGCAGACACACTGAATATAATTCATGAAATCTAGAAAAGGTGAAGATAACTTCCTTCATGACTCACAACTGCTCTTAGATATATATGCCTTCACAGACAGTGAGACACACAGACACACCCCTGTAAATTTATGTGTGTTGAGTGTGCATGTATAACTAAGCACTATTCATTTTAGTTCAAACCTGGTAAGTAAGCTGGGCAGTGGGAGCTTACACCTTTAATCCTAGCACTTGAGAGTCAAAGGCAGGTAGATCTCCTGAATTTGAGGCTACTCTGGTCTTCAGAATGAGTTCCAGGAAAGCCAGGGCTAAGAGAAAGTCTGTCTCAAAACCAACCAACGAATTCACCAACCAATCAATCAACTATGAACATTTGTTAAAGCATCACTTTCTCTATATACCCACTTAAAAATCATGTACATATTATGACTGACAAAGCTGTGCATATGAAGTTAAGAATCATGTGTAAGTCAAGAACCATTTGCACGAGAAATGCAGTTAATTCACATGATCTTATACATCTGTATTTTATTCTAGGAACTAAACAAGCAACTCGTGGCTCCAGAGAAATTGAAAATTACTATAAGCTTGCTGAGTATCAGTTTTTTCACAACAAACAACTTCATGGTCAAAGAACTAGGAATAATACATTTCTAATGTGTGTATTTCAAAGCTACTTGAAATATATTTCATAGACATGCTAATGACTTTATCAGCTCAGAAGTCCTTACAGAGTTTTTCAAACCCTGAGTTCAGCAGAGTCCATATCACTTCCAGAATTGCTAGATTGGGTTCATAGACAAAAGAAACATTATTGAAATGAAAATCTGTCACCTACTGTGGTTTAAGTCTCTTACACCTTATCCATATTTGTTACTCATTTGTACAAATTATATTATGTAACATTTTTTAGATCCTGTCCCTCAAAAGCATTCTTTTACTTTCTTCAGAGAAAGAAATGTTTTATTTATTACTGCATGAGTTATTAAACCAGTACTTACATTCCTATGTCATTTACACACATTTCACTGCAGAGAATGCCACCTTGATAGGCAGGGTATATTAGTAAGGAACAAAAAGTTTTCAGTTTTGTGTTGATGCTGCTGTGTCTAATCAAGAGCTTTGAAATGTAAGAACTTATAAGTTCTGCAGTGTTGCCCTTTACACCAAATAAATGAAACTCAGGAAAAAATGACACTAGTACTTATCACCATAAAGAAATACAGTAGAGACTAAAGTGTAGTACACCAGTAGAGAACATCCTTAATCCCAGAAAGCAGAGGCAGGTAGATATCTTGAGTTTGAGGGTAGGGTGATCGACAAACCAAATTCCAGGGGAACCAGTGACTGAGTAGCTCAAAAAAGAAATGGATGAAAAGGAAAAAGGTGCAAAACAAGAGCCAGGTGGTGGTGGTGACTCATACCTTTACTCCTAACATGCAGGAGGCAGAAGCAACCAAATCTCTGAGTTCAAGGCCAGCCTGGTTTATACAGCAAGTTACAAGATAAACCAACGCAACCACAGAAAAACCCTGTCTCCAAAACAAACAAGTTTGCTTCTGACTGCTAACACTTAACACACTGCTTATCATAATTGCTTAAATTATGTAATAATATATACTCTAATACAAAGTAGGGCATGCTCCACTCTTAAACTATATTTCCATAAGAGAGGTGTTAACTCCCTTTCCTTTGTGCTTTTACTTGTATCACTTGTAAATTGTTGACTTGTACTTCCAACTTCCGCCAGAAGAGGGAGGAACTTACCTACATCTAAACTTGAAAGAAATCTGTTCTACTGCTAACTCTTCCAAACAACCCTTCAGAGAGAAAAAAACTGGTCAGAATGTATTTCTTTTTGACTGATCTGCACTTTTCTAGCTCTGACAAACAACTCCCTTCTGGCATATTATACGATTTTAAAGTCCAGGTAATATATTAATTCCCTGTGGTGTTTAGGGCAACAGAGTGTGCAGATACATGGAGTTCATAGGACTACTATATCCAATAAAGAATCATATTCTTGCCAGGCAGTAGTGGGGCATGCCTTTAATCCCAGCACTCCAGAGGCAGACAGGCGGATCTCTTTTGAGTTCGAGGCCAGCCTGGTCTACAGACTGAGTTCCAGGACAGGCTCCAAAGCTACACTGAGATATCCTGTCTCAAAAAACAAACACAGGGGGCTGGAGAGATGGCTCAGAGGTTAAGAGCATTGACTGCTCTTCCAGAGGTCCTGAGTTCAATTCCCAGCAACCACATGGTGGCTCTTGACCATCCGTTATAAGATCTGGTACCCTCTCTGGTGTGCAGATATACATGGAAGCAGAATGTTGTATACATAATAAAAATAAATAAAATTTAAAAAAAAAACACAACATATAGCAGAAAACAAAATGGTTAGGTAACAGCAGAAGCACACGTTTGTGAACATACAAGTCTTTTTCTACACATGTATAAACACAAACATAGCTTGCAATTGTTACTTCCATTCAACTGAGGAAATCTGCAAGTTAAGCATGGCTGTCAATATAGTGGTAGGGAGAATGTTTATTATGTGTGAAGTCCTCAGTTCAATTCCTAGTGCCACCCCTACAATGGGGGAAGTAAATAAAGATTTTCTTAAACTAATTGCCACACCAAAGAACAAACTTAACATATCCCCAGCTTTCTGTCCTGACAAATAATTATTCCTATTTGATAATAATCTCCCAATCTTGGTTTTTTTCATCTGTCAACAGAATTTTATTAAATGTCTAATACAGTGAAATATACCAACTTATAAAGAGGTAAACAAGCACTTTTGGTATATTCCATGCTTACATTATAAGCAATTATTTTGAGTATTCTTTTTACAAGGTTGTTTCTGTTAAACTTTTAAAAATGCCACCAAAAATGTAGAAGTTAAGCATACTTTGAAACTATGCAAACAATTTAAGTTGGCCAAATTGAAATTGATTACAAAAAATACTTTAGCACATTGACAAGCTTATATTCAACAATTATTTCTCTCTTTTCCTAAATCAATCTCTCGTTTTTTAAAAAATTCATCTATTTATTTATTTGTTCATTTGTTTATTTTTTTGGAGACTATCCTGGTCTCGATCTCAGAGATCTCCTTTTTTATGAAGATATTTAGTACCCTTAAAGATATTTTAAAACAAGAGACAGGATGTTTGGGTTGGTCCACTTTAGCCAGTTAATGTTCATTTTATGTCAGCAACAAAAGGCCATCACTACCTAAACAAGTCTAGGGCTCCGTCATATTTTACTTAGTCTGGGGATTCCATAAAACAGGATAAGGAATTTTAGACTAAGAATTGTTAACACCCTGCATATTAATAGCTATCTATGAACCAGATTGTTAGCTATGTGATTTAGATGTGCTTACAGATTGCATGAAATCTTTGAGCAGCTCTGCTTCCATAGCTGCTCTGTGTTAGCAAAATACGCAGGAACACCTTTAAATTACTAAATGAAAAACTTCCTAATTAATTTTTTTAAACATGTGCTTCCTTGACCAGAATAAAGTACAAGAACTCACATCTATTGCTTTTTTTGTGATATCACAACTCTAAAAAGGGCTTTACAACTAGAAGGGATATTAGAGCAGTTAAAAAAGGTCATTGGGTTCTACTTGATAAAAACATGTTTGTATTTCTGATATATCTAATGTTTGTCTATTATTTGTTTGTATAAGACAAGCTAACCAAGACATGTTCACAGTCACCTCAACAGGTACAGATAAAACATTAGGACACTGTTTCACACCAACACTGTTTCCTGCAAAACTGCTGGGGTTCATGTTTTCTCACACTTCTGATCCTCAAGCAAACACAAGCTGCTGTTAATGAAGAACAAGCTCCATTAATTACGCCCGTTGTGAGAACTTTCAATTAGAAACACAACGCATACACTCTTCCCTTATTTCAAGTACATTTAAAAACAATAGCCAATGCAGGTGTTTTTCCAATGCTAAGACATTTGTTACGACTATTTCAGTTGTCCCCTCCCACCACCTTGTACAACAAACCACAAATGTCTTACTGTTTGTCAAGGCCCAAGTCACTGAAGGGCAGAAAACCAAAGATCCTGCTCATACATAATTTAATACATCACACTATGCAGGAATTTGGATTTATGGTAAGCTTGTCACCCTGTGCCTCTCATAGTGTCTCATGCTAGAGCAAACTCATTACTTGACCTCTGTGACTGTAGGCTGCTGGCACTGAAGTCACACAGTGGGAAAACAAAACAAAACAAAAATAGCACACTACCACAGACCAACACATCAACATGATGTGAATCAGCAATTTCTAATATAGATGTAATTGGGATTCTTTATGGAGTCTCTTATAATTCCGAGATTGAAAACCCTATCAAGTTTGAGTTATGAATGCCTTATGCAAGGGGACTTTTGAAGATGCCTGTGGTGTCTACCAACTCCAAGAAGCTCTTACTACAACTTTAACTTTTTAACATGCTGAGGATATTATAATAAGCTATATGAATGCAGTTTGAGTTGTAATATTTCCTTCCAGTTGTCAGATCTGAGATCTAATAGAAGGTCTGATTCAATTTATTTTCTGCCTCATATGGAAAATCATGCTTTAAAATGTCTTTAAGAATAAGTGTCCGAAACTATTAATAGCCACAAAACCTGAAAAATATTTTATCTAAACAATAATGCACTGTGCCAGATGAATTTGACATGTTATTAAAACCACTATTAAGCAGTATGAACTAAATAGTTGGATTTAGTGTTAAAGACCAAAAACAAAATGTTGAGTGCTGAGAATTATTAATTAAAAGAAAAACCCAAACCATTAATTTTAGACCTACATCTACCTAGTAACACTCTAAAAGACTAAAAATTTATTATTAAGAGTCCTATTTGAGCAGAAGGAAAAAATATTTTACAACCTACAGTTCTAGTAGTAACAGCATACCTTTTCTCTCTGTTTTCTGTGCAGGGACAGAAGCTGTGGGTGTAGGCAGTTTTGATAAAGTAGATGCTCCATTAGCATCAAATGATTTCTTTGGCTGGTGATCAGATTGAAGCGTAAATGGACTGGAAGGAACAGTGCTTGGGGTAGCGGTTGGATGAACCACTGGTTTGATGGGGTGCTGTACTGGCGTAGAGCTACTGTGAGTCTCTGCTCTTGGCAGTCTGTAGTCTTTGTCATTGTGTCTGCTTGTTTGAGACAAAATATTCTGTGGGAGCAAACTACTGGCATCGCTGGAATGCTTGTCTTCCACTGTAGTTCACAGTTCGCAAAAGAGATGTTGGAATGACAGAAGGGGAAGAAAAACAGATGCTGTTAGAATCCTGTGTCATGAACATCAGCTAGTTGAGCAACATAACTGTAATTATGTTCCTTTTCATAAAACTGCAAGCCCAGTTAGTGTCTGCAGTTTTAACAATGATATTAATTATCAATACAGCAAGAGTTTTAACAACTATAAATAATCATCTATACTCAACTTGTTTAATGTATTCTTTGAAATTAAATTGTATTTTAAAAAATTCTAAAAATAGTTATAACATTTTACTCAAAAAAATGCTTCCAAAAGTAAAAAGGCAAATGTCTATTTCTTTAAAAATTTGGATCACAGATTCAAATAATTAACAGAATTGCCCAGTGGTTCAATTACAAAAGAACACTGGCTTCATTAATTTCAGTTTTTTGAATACTAAAGCTGCTAGCTAATGTGGGCTCTAAAGTGTTTTAGTCTAGGGCTTTCAATGATATAAGATGGTTTAATATACTCAACTGTTCATCCCATACATAACACTAATGAGGGTAAAATAATATTTCACATTCACATGCTATTCTTAAAAGAGAAGTCCAGCACATGTAAGCATAATTAGAAAAATGTGCTTATCACCAGCAATTACATCAGAAGCATAGGAAATGATTCAAACTCTGCCAACAATTTAAATTCTGGTATTGTGCATTTACAAATAAAAAAGGAGGACATTTTTAACTCATGTGGACAAAGATCATTTGTTTAAAAAAAAAAACAAACTGTAATGTCCTAAAGAAAGACCCAAAACAAGAAATACCCTAAGATTAAAAGGAAGTGACGTTATCTCGACAGTTGTATAAAGGATGCTCACTGTTGAGTATGTTTTTTCCTAAACCACAGTTCTTCTAACTCTTAAGATCAAGAACAGACTCTCAAGTTCTAAGTCAATTTTAAAGTTGCCACTATACAACTAGCATAGTGCACTCAAGACCCTGGTTTGCCACCAAAGTCCTAAATTGTTTCAAAAGAAACTCTCCAGTTATCTAATACATATATAGATTCAGTATGTTATACAATGAACCAATAACAGAAACAAACTGGCTTATGATGTAAATTACAAACTTGTACAAACATAAAACTATTTGAATTTTAGTCTAGTTTCTTCATTAAAAAAGATACAACTATAATAAATCCTCAAAAACAAGTACATCAGCATGCCTAGCCCTACCACTTTAATTACCTATAACTTTTATATCTCTTTATATTAAAAAAAACCTTTAGTTCTATATAGCTAAAAGCAACACAGGTAAAGGCAAAAAGGTTCAGATGAAAACTTAAAATGATACTTCAAATATCTCTGAATTCAAAATGACTGCAGAGTAGAGGAGCTGGGGAAAATAAAGCAGCAACTGCTTCCTACCATCACCAGGCAGAAGGCATTTACCCAAGTACCTCTATTTGCACCACAGCTCCCCAGACTTTTCTGAATGCCATGGTGGGAAGTGTGTGACTAGCTAATCTAGCAGGTATGATAATAATTTATAATACAGGGCAGTCTGTCCAGCAACAAATTGTCAGATCCAAAATGTCACTAGTGATATAAGAAATTCCAATTGAGGTTTCTCTAAATTTATAAGAATCATAATATTAAGTACAGAAAGAAATAATCCAGGAGCAGTTAATAACAAAAGAAAAATTGTATCCATACACTTAGGAGTATCAGATTTTATCAGACTGTGGTAAAAACTCCCATCTCTCTGCATCTAATTATCTTCCCACTCCTTTAATTTCTTGAAAGGAACACATTCTAAGCATTATTCTATCCAATGCCAATAAACACAGAACAATATTTGACAATGTCAAATAATTAAATGGAATACTGACTTTATTACAATAGCACCTTATATAATTTAGTGGAAAAATTAAACAGGAAAAGTAAAACCCAACATAGCTAAAGTTCTTTCTCAACCATTACTTAGAACTTTAAAAATAAAAAATAATACAGATCATGACCCCAGCCAGACCTATTGACTCATTATTTGCACATAAAGGAATTTACTTAAACTAAAGGGGCACATACAAATCATTTGAGTGTGAAATGGCCGAAAACCACTCAGTATTCAGAAGGCTTACAATAATAATAGTATACTGAAGCAGAATGGTACAAGCAATAATTTAGCAGATGCAGAATAAAACTAACACAGAAGCAGATCCCTGAAATACTAATGAACAAAAGTGGGCTAACATGTCATTTTTGGTTCTAAATAAAAACATGTCTGATTTCTATACATATAAATAAACACAATTTATTTATCTCAAAAAGTTCCTGGGTCAAGAGATTAAAAGTTTAACATTCTAAATTTTTATACAGATCCACCTGTGTTTGCCTGCCTAGTATAGTGATTAAACAAGTACACACCCATAAGAGACCACCTAACTTTTAAAATAATAACATGCCTTACTTTGAAATCACAAATCAAATAACATAAAAAAATCACAAAAAATCTTTCTGTCACTGTTTCAAAATTAGATCTTAGCATTTATTGCTGGAGACCTCTTGGGGGGATGGAGGTGTTCAGGAATCAAAGAGGATATGTGGAGTGGGTGGGGCACATGAAGAGGAGATGCACATGATCTGAAGGCCATGATCTGAAGGTGAATCAGGTTGGCTGCCAGCTCATTTAATTGAAAACAAACGACACTTTTTACAGTCTATAACTGCACATAGGATTAAACAGGAAAGGAGACAAGGGGCATGTGAGCTGGGGTGTGACTTGAGATCAGGGGTTGGAGAAGTTAGCCTTGACCTTGACAATAGGCACCAGTCATATGTTAACTCAAGAGCCACAAGTTCCTCTTGCAGAGATAACTTTCCTCAAGCCCACAAGGCAATGGAGAACCTTATCCAAATGCCTAACCTTGGGATAAGGACTTCCAGGGAGGAGACACTATATTACAGTTAAAAGTCTTACTATATGGGTGGGCCTGTTCCCTCATATGCTCCCAAATGGAAAGGTCCTAGTATCTTACTCTCTTTTCTCATTATAACATACCATTCTGATTTCTCTCCTTTTACTAACCGAACTCTTGCCTCATGTTATGGATCTAAACTGCAGGCATTTTATTCTTAGGATCAGGTGTGTCTAGTAAATTTCTGTTCTTGGAGGAGGGCACAATGGAATTCCTGGTTCCATGGTTGTGGGAATTTTTTTCCCAAAGAATTATTTTAGAGCGGCTACCATTGTACACATTTTTAGCCTCTATCAAAATCCACACAAAATTTCCCAAAGGAAAAGGCATTGAGAATCATTAAAAATAAAGTATAAAGGTGCTGGATATGTGTGGTCTGCAATGCTGCAACTTTGTCAAGTAGCAATAAGTTACCATGTGGTCAATGCCAGTTTACCTTTATAAACCCTAACCCTGGAAAACGACTAAACATTAAAAGAAAACAAAATAGGTCTCTTTCTTCTCTCTCCCCTTTCTACCTTTCCTTTCCCACCCACCAATAAAACTTCCCACTTAAAAAAATATATATCTATACAACCACGAATTCAGCTATAGACCTATTAAGAATTCACTTAAGGGCAGATAAAAACCACCCAATATTCCTGTAAGCCAGTAGATATAGTCTTCCCTCTTTGAGAACTACTAGCCTAAACCTAGTTACAGTCACCTGGCCCAATGCAGTAGTACTTGTCTAGGACCTACATAGTTCACAAATACAATAGATTTCCCTTATGTTTTGATTCTAACAGTTCTTTTCTAGCCCACATGTGTCACTTCTCCATGTTCCTCCTCCCCATCCATCAATTGCATGAGAGACAACAAACTATATGCTATTTAATTTCAAGAAAAACCTTAGCTCCTTTTTAGTTTGATCAAAGTCTACTAGTTACTAAAGACAAAGGACAACACAAGATTAAAACCCACATTTTAGCCAGGCGTGGCGCACGCCTTTAATTCCAGCACTCGGGAGGCAGAGGCAGTCGGA